ACATACACTGTCACAGCATTATTTTGAAAAAGAAATGCATTTTAAAATCAGTAACATATAATACCATGATTTAACACTTAATTGTGTCAACTTTTAAGCAATCCAATTTCAACTTGAGATAGATTTATTTAACTTGTTTAAATTCTAAAAACTGAAAACAAACGAAAAAATTGTTACTACGTAAACAATTTTTTTTTAGTAAGGCGGGAGGTGTGACGGCAGGCCTAAATTCACGTAATTCTCCGCTAGGGAAAAACACTACGTAACTCTTCGTACGGAAGTAACTAGGTAATAGCGCTAGGATTCAAAATTAATATCAATATAATAATTGAATTTTAATGTAAAATAAAAACGCATGCATTTATTTGCTTATTTCCGTAAAGAATTTTATCACATGCAAAAAATCTAAAGAACGAAATAGAATGGCAACCAAACATGTGCTGCTTTTTGAAAAGGAATAATTGTTAAAATTACAGATGTTGAAATAGTCTGCGAAAATGAGGCAAATGTCACGTAGGACACAAAAAATTAGAATTGAAAAGAAACAGAGTTTATTTCTATAAAAAATAGCCTTTTGAGAAATACATATTTCCGAACTTCGAAACAGTTGGGAAAACCCAAACATGTGGTAGCAATAAAAAAGGGACCGTGGGACTCGGGCCTTACTCGAGTCCCCGGTATAAAAAAAAAGGGTATTGTATCGTCAGGAAAAACCTATGACTCATCCTTCGTTTATAAGAAAAAGAAATGAGCTTTCTATTTAATTACAATATTCAAATTTGATATGAATTTCACATTCTTAATTCTATGTATGCCACTAATAATTTTATAAAACAACGATTATAAATTGATTACTGTTTACCATTTCATTACTAGTTAAATAATTTGATACTCTTAATTAATGATAAAAGTTTTAATCACATGTATAGAATTTGTTAATTAATTTATTGATTAATTAAATAATAATAATAATAATAATAATAATAATAATAATAATAATAATAATAATAATAATAATAATCATAATAATAATAAAATAAATAATAATAAGTTGTATTATAATACAAATTATCTACGTTATTGTAATATCTTATTAGTAATTCAAAGTTACCATGATTCTATGGTAATTAAATATACAGATGCAAAATGTAATTATCATACTCCGAATGAATTTAACTGCGAAACCGATTATTATATATTTGGTAATTGACGAAACAAATATTAATTAACTTTATATATTGTTAATGTTAAATTTAAATAATGAAAAATAGTATGAATGTGTAAATAACTTGTAAAAATAACACTCCGTCAGGGTTGTATTGGTCACAGGGAAGTTCAAAGGAAGGGGTAGTCATCCCCTCTACTCAACGCGCGCAGGGTCCTATGGGGACCCATGGACCACAGGATCTCATCTCGTCAGATATCTCCGAGCACTCTTACCGATTACTTGTAATTTCTCGGCTCGAACTTGTAACTTTTACTTATTACTGTTGATTAAAGTAACCAATTTAAAGTATTTCTTGTTGTAATCATTATAAAGTAGAATTTGAATCTCCCACCTATTTACAGGGTACACTTTAGTGTTTTAGCAGTTGAATTCCCCAACATTTTAATATTCAAAAATCCCTATTTTTGTACTTGGGACGTGACATGTATAAAACTTTTGAAGTAAAATACGAGGTATTTTACTGTAAAAATCCATGTAATTTACCTGAGGTATTTTACGCGCCCAACCCTGGGCAGTAGAGGTGAGAGTGTACCTTAAATCACTAGTATTTGAATAAAGGCACTGTAAAAAAATCTGGTGTAAAATAACACGAAACTTGTAATTTCACACATCAAAATTATAGGTGGTACGTAGTAAATTTATTTCGTTCCAAAAGTACACTGTAAAAAAATCTGGTGTAAAATAACACGAAACTTGTAATTTCACACATCAAAATTATAGGTTGTACGTAGTAAATTTATTTCGTTCCAAAAGTAGTTTTACTATTTTTAATAATTTTACATTATACGACTATGTAATTTAATAGTTTTGTGTAAATTTACTACGTCCGACGTAGGAAAATTTGATCACTATGTCCGACGTGGTATTTTTACATTGCGTGTATTTCTACACTTTGACGTAATATTACGTCGCACGATCTGTACAATTACATGGCGAATGTAATTTTCTTATTCCTTTAAGATTTTCAAAAAATTTTCAAGTTTTTATAAATAACTCTAAAAAAGTGTATATAATGTACATTTATAGAAAGTATATGCTAATTTATAAGTAAATAATAATATAACAAAAAGTTTTGGGCTATATTTCATAAATACAAAAAGTTACGACTGAAAATATTATTTCAAAAAATATTTGCAGGTTATGTAGATTACAGTCGGCGTGTAAAAATACCACGTCGGACATAGTGACCAAACTTTCCAACGTCGGACATAGTAAATTTACAGCAGATTTTTTTACAGTGTATAGTTTTACTATTTTTAATAATTTTACATTATACGACTATGTAATTTAATAGTTTTGTGTAAATTTACTATCCTACATCGGACGTAGTAAATTTACACAAAACTATTAAATTACATAGTCGTATAATGTAAAATTATTAAAAATAGTAAAACTACTTTTAGAACGAAATAAATTTACTACGTACAACCTATAATTTTGATGTGTGAAATTACAAGTTTCGTGTTAAGGCCAACGCAGAATAGATCTGTAACCGGAACCGCAATCGTAAGCGTAACCGTAAGAATGAGTTAAAGAAGGATAGGTATATTGTTTATCCTTCTCTAACTCATTCTTACGCTTACGGTTACGATTGCGGTTCCGGTTACAGATCTATTCTGCGTTGGCCTTTATTTTACACCAGATTTTTTTACAGTGTGCTTTCATGAAGGAGTATAAAGGCCTTTCTCCAATATGTTCTTAAAACTTTGCGTCTGCGTCGGTTGCTATAGCAACACATGCTAATATCAACGCAACGCAGTCAAGGCCAACGCAGAATAGATCTGTAACCGGAACCGCAATCGTAACCGTAAGCGTAAAAATGAGTTAGAGAAGGATAAACAATATACCTATCCTTCTTTAACTCATTCTTACGGTTACGCTTACGATTGCGGTTCCGGTTACAGATCTATTCTGCGTTGGCCTTCATTCGCAGACAATCGCAGAGTTTTTGGAAGGCCTAAAGCCTTTCTCCAATAGGTTTTAAAAAGTGTGCGAATGACTGCGTTGCGTTGATTTTAGCATGTGTTGCTATAGCAACCGACGCATATGCAAAGTTTTAGGAACATATTGGAGAAAGGGCATAAAGGCCTTTCTCCAATAGGATCCAAAAACTCTGCGTTTGTCTGCGAATGACTGCGTTGCGTTGATTTTAGCATGTGTTGCTATAGCAACCGACGCAGTCACAGAGTTTTGGGAACCTATTGGAGAAAGGCCTTTAAGGAGAAGTATGTATATGTATCCCTATTGACTGTACTTGACTGCGTAAAATCGCCATGCACGAAAATTGGCATACCAGAAATTTGTTCACTGATATTAGCGCCCCTACAGGAGAAAATATATACCCTCCATGCTGTCTATGATCAAAGTTTTGTTTACGTAGTTTTTTGGTTATGTACTAAGTTGATAATAACAATAAAATAATAGTAATATGAATTGTTTTATAAAAAATTGCATGTCTAGTTATAAAGCAAATAAAAATGCTTCTGAAAAAAGTGTTTTTTCAAAGCACCGAGAATGATAAGTTTATTTAATATACTATTTTGTAAGGGTAAAAGTTTTTATACTTTTACCAACAGACATTTATGAATTTAATGCAAAGAATTTTTGGTTGTTTATTTGAAGTCCTTTCTATTTATATAACGTATAAAACAATTTAATTCTGTTCATCTATTTTACAATACAACACTCAGAGGATCCTCTAACCTTAAATATCAGTCAGCTGTCAAAGATAAAAATACTTAAAATGTAAAGTTGCACTTATTTCTCCCGTTTGGCGGCGCTGTTATCAGTGAACATGAGGCTATTACTTTTCGCGTGCCTGTCGATTTTACTGCAGAGAAGTACAGTCAATATCAGGAAATTTTCCCATTGGACACTCTAAAAAATTCCGTTGTTAATTTACAACGTCGGACGTTGGAAATTATTTGCTTCACGTCCAACGTAGTAAGCTTACAAGCTGCTAGTAGTACACTGTAAAAAAATCTGGTTTAAAATAACACGAAACTTGTAATTTCACACATCAAAATTATAGGTTGTACGTAGTAAATTTATTTCGTTCCAAAAGTAGTTTTACTATTTTTAATAATTTTACATTATACGACTATGTAATTTAATAGTTTTGTGTAAATTTACTGCGTCCGACGTAGGAAAATTTGATCACTATGTCCGACGTGGTATTTTTACATTGCGTGTATTTCTACACTTTGACGTAATATTACGTCGCACGATCTGTACAATTACATGGCGAATGTAATTTTCTTATTCCTTTAAGATTTTCAAAAAATTTTCAAGTTTTTATAAATAACTCTAAAAAAGTGTATATAATGTACATTTATAGAAAGTATATGCTAATTTATAAGTAAATAATAATATAACAAAAAGTTTTGGGCTATATTTCATAAATACAAAAAGTTACGACTGAAAATATTATTTCAAAAAATATTTGCAGGTTATGTAGATTACAGTCGGCGTGTAAAAATACCACGTCGGACATAGTGACCAAACTTTCCAACGTCGGACATAGTAAATTTACAGCAGATTTTTTTACAGTGTATGTGAAATGTGAATTATATTTCATATAACTTGTTCGAAGATATTACTTATGTAGTACCGCAACTTGCTGTTGGATGTCGCCACTTTTAGAGATAGATCAAAGCAAAAATGCTGTGGATCTGACTTCATACATCCCCTCTTTGTCTACCTCTTTGTCCATCTCTTAGGTCCTTTGTTCCTTCATTCGTTTCTTGGCGTTGGATCAAGCCACATATCTACAATGGAGTCAGAAAATTCAACGGCAGACAGGAAAGCAGCTTACAAAAGAAGACTAAAGGAATTGGAGAGTGAAATGAATAGCGTTTTTCAAGATATGGAGGATCTCAATAAATCACATGAGGAAGATTCAGAATTGACTTTCGAAGGTAGGTTATTTGTGGATAGTTCAGCATCTCAGGATGATTCTTCCGACACGAGGGCCGAGTTTCAATTCAAAGTTGATCCCATGTGCCCAGATAAAGTCCTGATCTTGGATTCAAAGTCCATGACGGATTCTAAAATAAATTATTCTAATTATAATGTTCCTCAGAAAATAAATACGCCTCATTGTATTTTAGATGTAATCAATCATGAGAAGAGTACGGAAAAAAGGGCGGAACCAGAGGAATCTGAGACGGTTCATGAAAATTTCGAGTCGGATGAGGCCTGTATTTATTTGGGTGATAATCCTTCTAATGACACAGAAGATTTAATTTTGCTAGAAAGCATCGCTAACCGCTTAAAGTCTTGGACAAAAAAGGGAATAGGAAAAAAGGAGATTAAGGAGGAACTCTTATCCTCAATCCCAAGGAAAGGTGCGGTCAATTTAGAAGCTCCTATTTTGAATGAAGAAGTCTTAGTGGATATCCATCCAAAATCGCTGATTCGTGATGAATTTTTTCGTGATTATCAAAATTTGACAGGCGCCGCTTTAGCATCCTCATCGTTGGTTTTAAGTATGATACTAAACGACTCGCAAAATCCTTTGGAAAGAGAAGATGTTCTAAAAAAACTCTCAGACACAGTGAAGCTTCTCTCCGAACTATTCTTCTCATTGACAACAGCTAGAAAGACTTTTCTACTTGGTAGGTACGAGGAACGTGTACAAAAAATTCTAAAGAAGGTCGAGCCATCAGCTTTACTTTTTGGAGACAACTTAAGGTCTCTCATAGAATCCTCGAAGGCGATGGAGAGGGTTTCAAAGGAGTTGAAACCAAAACAGAAATACCAGTCTAAACCATCTACTAGTAGCAATTTAAACTGGAGGAGCTCTACGATCAGAAGAGAGGTGGGTCGTGGGAGCCATTCTTACAACCGCCAAAGGACAACCACCTCGAAACCCTCGGGAATGCCAATATCATTCAAGCAGAGGACTCCTGCAAAGAGATATTACACACAATCTCAGCCTCAACAGAGGAGTCAGCGACATTAGAGGAGAGTGTAAGTATACATTCAGCAAGATTAAAATTTTTTATTAATAACTGGAGGCAAATAACACAGGACGCTTTTGTTCTTGAAATTGTCTCTGGATATAAATTAAACCTTAGGCAGGAGGTATTCCAATTTGGCGATATTCACAATCCTGTTCCTAACAATGATTTCGTCATTGCAATTTTAAAGTTATTAAATTCTAACGCTATAGAGTTGTGTAATTTTGACAAGAAACAATTTTTATCCTCCTACTTTCTTGTAGATAAGCCAGACGGTACAAAGCGGTTCATCTTAAATTTAAAAAAATTTAATTTTTTCTTAGCCAAAGAACATTTTAAAATAGAGGATTTGAGGACAGCTATTAATTTACTTTCCAGAGGAGATTATTTATGTAGGTTAGATTTAAAAGATGCATACCTATTGGTACCCATTCACGAGAGTGACAAAAAATATCTTCGTTTTGAGTATAGAGAAAAATTATACCAATTTAATGCGTTACCTTTTGGGCTGTCGTCAGCTCCTTTCGTGTTCACCAAGCTTTGTAAACCAGTTGTAAATTTATTAAGAAGTATGGGTATTAGACTCGTGATATATTTGGATGATTTTTTAATCTTCGGTAGTTCTCCGGAAGAATGTAGGAAACATACGGAACAAACAGTATCCTTATTAGTCTTTTTAGGTTTCAAGGTCAACTGGGAAAAAAGTGACTTATCCCCAAAGACAATTTGTAAATTCTTAGGAATGATAATAAATACGGTTGATATGACTATCGAGTTACCGAAGGAGAAACGTTTAAAATTAAAGATATAGTCAGGGTAATGTTACTAGATAAAAAAGTAAGAATTCAGAATTTAGCAGAATGCATTGGAGTACTAGTAGCAGCTTGTCCGGGTGTTGCTTACGGCTGGCTCTACTACAAGGAACTTGAACTAGTTAAGAGATGTGCACTAACACTTAATCATAATAATACAAGAAAATTCACAAATTTATCAGAGGGTGCTTTAGAGGAACTAAAATGGTGGTATTCAGAAATTTTAGTTGTTAAGAACAAAATTAGATCAAGTAATTATGACCTAGAAATTTTTTCGGATGCTTCTACCACGGGTTGGGGAGCGACTTGTGGTACAAGAGAGGCCCACGGATCGTGGACAATTAAGGAAAGACAGATGCACATTAATTATTTAGAAATAAAAGCAGCCTTCTTTGCCCTCAAATGTTTTGCTTCAACAATCTCTAACAAACAGATACTCTTACGAATAGATAATATAACAGCGCTGGCTTATCTCAATAAGATGGGGGGTATTAAGCATAGAGATTTAAACAATATAATAAAAGAAACTTGGGAGTGGTGTAAGACTAGACAAATTTGGATTTTTGCTGAGTATGTTGCGTCGAAAGAAAATCCTGCGGACAAAGGGTCTAGAATTACAAATCCAGATACCGAATGGGAACTTTCAGACTTTGCCTTTCGTGAGTTAGTTCACAAATTTGGAAATCCAACTATCGATTTATTTGCAAGTCGTACAAATACAAAATGCGACAGATATTGTTCTTGGGATAGAGACCCTGAAGCTTTATCAATAAATTCGTTAACAATAGATTGGAACGGCGAATTTTGGTATGCTTTCCCCCCGTTCTCCTTGATTGCTAGATTACTTAAAAAAGTTCGAGAAGAAGGTTCTACGGGTATTTTAGTGGTCCCTTATTGGACAGGACAACCTTGGTTTCCAGAATTTAAAAGACTTTAATTTCGAATTTAATTCATTGGCAACCCTCAACTAATCTTTTGCTTTCTCCTTGCAGAAAAATGGTCCATCCGATGGCATCCAGTCTTATCCTGGTTTCCGGCATTGTTTCTGGAAAGCCCTGCAGAAAAAGAACTTGGATGATGACACAATCCAAATAATGTTTGCATCTATGGCTGAGGGGACAGTGAAACAATACAACTCCGCTTTGAAATATTGGTGGTCATATTGTAAAGAAGGCCAACAGGATCCTTTTAGGGCCAATGAAAATATTGTCCTTCAATGTCTATCGAGGAGGTTCTCAACAGGGGCAAATTATGGAACATTAAATTCCTTACGCTCAGCCATTGCTTCGATAAATAGTTTCGACACATCGGATAGTTTGTTAATTGCACGTTTTTTCAAGGGAGCTTTTAAACTTCGTCCAACCATTCCAAAATATAATTCCACGTGGGACACGGACATTATGTTAAAAAAATTAAAGGAATGGAGTCCATGTGAGGGGTTGGACCCACAGAAATTGACAATTAAGACGGTAATGTTAATAGCACTGGGGTCAGCATTCAGAGCTCAATCATTAGCTTTAATACAGCTAAAGGACATAAAATCGCATTCAGGTGGTGTGGAAGTTAGGATTACGAACTTAATCAAGACTTCGAGAGCAGGAGTTAATCAACCACGAGCCTTTTTCCCATTTTTTAGTGATAAGGACTTATGTGTGGCCCATACACTTTTATATTATATCGAGGCTACAAACTCAATTAGAGGAGAGAAAGAAAGATTGTTTTTATCGTTTAAGCAACCTTATAGTGAGATAGGCTCTCAGACCATAAGCAGGTGGTTAAAGTTTGCCATGAAAGAGGCAGGTATTGATGAGAAATACAAAGCGCACAGCACCAGGCACGCTTCTTCTTCAAAAGCCTCAGTTAGAGGTATTGACCTTAAAGTTATTAAAGATGCTGCGGGATGGTCTGAGAGGTCAAGTACTTTTTTTAAATTTTATAATAGACGGATCGACGGCTCCGAAGGAAGTTTTGCTAGAGCAGTATTAGCTCAGACCTGATATTAAAAGGGAAGAAGAAAGAATTTTATTTTTCTTTCTAATTACGAAACATTCATTTTATAATATTAATTACTTTTGTTCTTTTCATGTTTTACGAATAAAATATATTCATACAAGTAAAATATATTTGTTTAGTTACTCTAAACATCTACATAAGTAATATCTTCGAACAAGTTATATGAAATATAATTAATGATTAAACGAACTTACAAGTGAAGTTCGATCATAATTATATGAATTACTTGTTCGAAGATATTAGTTCCCACCCAATATTTAAAAAAAAAAAAAAAAAAAAAAAACTATTTTTTTTTTATTTTTTAACCCAACCCAAAAAAGAAAAAAAAAAAAAAAATGTGTTTTTTTTATACTCTAAACTAAATGAAGGAACAAAGGACCTAAGAGATGGACAAAGAGGTAGACAAAGAGGGGATGTATGAAGTCAGATCCACAGCATTTTTGCTTTGATCTATCTCTAAAAGTGGCGACATCCAACAGCAAGTTGCGGTACTACATAAGTAATATCTTCGAACAAGTAATTCATATAATTATGATCGAACTTCACTTGTAAGTTCGTTTAATCATTAATTTACAATAAGCGACATGTTTCTTTACACGCACGACAGGTTAAATAATCACCCAATTGTAAAATAACACAAACGATGTATTATTGCAATCTTACAATACATTTACATGAAAATGTAAATTTACTACGTCGGACGTGAAGCAAATTATTTCCAATGTCCCACTTGGTAAAATTACAATATCTGAGTTAAATAACATTATAGGACGTCATAAAGTTACACAAAGTTGTGTAGAATTGCACTTGTAGGTTATATCACTACGTGTAGCAACGTAAATTTATCACATCAGACGTTGTAGTTTTGCTGAGTAAAATTACACGACGTGTGTTATAAAGCAATGTCCTTTTTTACAGTGGAGATATGACTCCTTAAGGCCAACGCAGAATAGATCTGTAACCGGAACCGCAATCGTAAGCGTAACCGTAAGAATGAGTTAGAGAAGGATAAACTATATACCTATCCTTCTTTAACTCATTCTTACGGTAACGCTTACGATTGCGGTTCCGGTTACAGATCTATTCTGCGTTGGCCTTTAAGGCCTTTCTCCAATAGGTTATCACAAGTGTGCGAATGACTGCGTTGCGTTGATTTTAGCATGTGTTGCTATAGCAACCGACGCAGACGCAGTCATTCGCACACTTTTTAAAACCTATTGGAGAAAGGCCTTTATACTCCTTCATGAATGCTTTCGAGAATACGGCCCCAGAACGTCGAATCGTCATTTGGACAAATGCTAAAAACATCGAATAGTCAATTTATCGAATGTTAAAAACGTCGAATTGTCATTTCGTCGAATGCTCAAAACATCGAGTAGTAGTAGTAGTATTTAACATTGGCACTACTGGCGTTGCGCTGTGTATATTCGGCCATGACCAGGTATATGAGTGGAGCTTAATGTTGAATCTGTGAACAAAAGAACGGTGCACAGTGGGTGATTTTGCTCATTTTTGTGTCAAAATCGTAAAACTCTGAGCAGAAACAACATAAAAGGATAAATCTTTTTCGAGAGTATAGATTAGTGCCTACAGATTACGGGAAAAATAAACAGAAGCGTTAAAAAAAATTTTATAACCTTAAAATTTTACGTGGAAGTCAGAAGTTTCAGTAAACAATCAATATTATCCATTACTGCGCAAGTTTGCAAGTTGTTTTTCGCCCAAAAAGTATTTTTCTTAGTAAATTTTGAGTCAACTTATTCGTACCTATGGTTCAAAATAATTAAAAATTATTTGGTTTTGAATAAATGAGGTTATAAATGTCATACTTTTTCTCACCTCGTTTAAAACAAATTAAAAATAATTTTTTTGATAACTGAAGGTATTTTAGGGGTTTTTGGGGTCGCTGATTACGAATCTGAAGTCAGATTTTTAAAATTCAAAATGGCGGATTCAATATGGCGGATGACATATTTAAAATTTGATCGAATTGGCTTGAAAGTTGTTACCTGGGGGTTTTTTCGGTCGCTGATTACGAATCTGATGTTAGTTTCTTAAAATTCAAAATGGCGGATCCAATATGTCGGATAATATATATAAAAATTGATCAAATTGGCTTGAAATTCGTTACCTGGGGGTTTTTTCCGGTCGCTGATTACGAATCTGATGTTAGTTTCTTAAAATTCAAAATGGCGGATCCAATATGGCGGATGACATATATAAAATTTGATCGAATTGGCTTGAAAGTTGTTACCTGGGGGTTTTCTCGGTCGCTGATTACGAATCTGATGTTAGTTTTTTAAAATTCAAAATGGCGGATCCAATATGGCGGATAATATATATAAAAATTGATCAAATTGGCTTAGAAGTCATTATTCGGGAGATTTTATGATCGCTGATTACGAATCTGAGGTCAGTTTTTTGAAATTCCAATTTGCGGATTTAAAATTTGTATGTTTAATATGGTCGTCTGCAGTGTTATTAGTGTTGCAAATTTAATTTTAATTAAATACATGTTAACATCTTTTTTGTATCCGGAATTATTAAAAAAATACGTATTAAAGTTCCATGCTGTTATTTAAGAAAAGAGAATTTAGCAACGAAAAGTATATTCAAAAAAACAAATGAGTAGATACTTTCTGATATGCTTTGACATTTCTAATACGGATGAGAGAATATGTCTATTTAAAAAATTATAGTTTAAACATTTTTATTTGAAAGTGTATACTCATTTGTTTTTTTGAATATACTTTTCGTTGCTAAATTCTCTTTTCTTAAATAACAGCATGGAACTTTAATACGTATTTTTTTAATAATTCCGGATACAAAAAAGATGTTAACATGTATTTAATTAAAATTAAATTTGCAACACTAATAACACTGCAGACGACCATATTAAACATACAAATTTTAAATCCGCAAATTGGAATTTCAAAAAACTGACCTCAGATTCGTAATCAGCGACCATAAAATCTCCCGAATAATGACTTCTAAGCCAATTTGATCAATTTTTATATATATTATCCGCCATATTGGATCCGCCATTTTGAATTTTAAAAAACTAACATCAGATTCGTAATCAGCGACCGAGAAAACCCCCAGGTAACAACTTTCAAGCCAATTCGATCAAATTTTATATATGTCATCCGCCATATTGGATCCGCCATTTTGAATTTTAAGAAACTAACATCAGATTCGTAATCAGCGACCGGAAAAAACCCCCAGGTAACGAATTTCAAGCCAATTTGATCAATTTTTATATATATTATCCGACATATTGGATCCGCCATTTTGAATTTTAAGAAACTAACATCAGATTCGTAATCAGCGACCGAAAAAACCCCCAGGTAACAACTTTCAAGCCAATTCGATCAAATTTTAAATATGTCATCCGCCATATTGAATCCGCCATTTTGAATTTTAAAAATCTGACTTCAGATTCGTAATCAGCGACCCCAAAAACCCCTAAAATACCTTCAGTTATCAAAAAAATTATTTTTAATTTGTTTTAAACGAGGTGAGAAAAAGTATGACATTTATAACCTCATTTATTCAAAACCAAATAATTTTTAATTATTTTGAACCATAGGTACGAATAAGTTGACTCAAAATTTACTAAGAAAAATACTTTTTGGGCGAAAAACAACTTGCAAACTTGCGCAGTAATGGATAATATTGATTGTTTACTGAAACTTCTGACTTCCACGTAAAATTTTAAGGTTATAAAATTTTTTTTAACGCTTCTGTTTATTTTTCCCGTAATCTGTAGGCACTAATCTATACTCTCGAAAAAGATTTATCCTTTTATGTTGTTTCTGCTCAGAGTTTTACGATTTTGACACAAAAATGAGCAAAATCACCCACTGTGCGGTGGCACGAACGCCAACCTACTCCCGCGTGCGCAACCAGGGGGCACGAGAACCCCTGATCGCGCCCGCGGGAGCAAGTCAGCGTAGAGTATTTAACCCATTAACGCCCAAATGTCCAAAATTTTTGACTGAATTTCAAGGTAAGAATTTTCATCAATATTCAAAACTTGATTTAAATCATTTGAAAATTACTTCTCGGAGGTTTTCGGGGTCGGTGATTACAAATATGAAGTTTTATTTTAAAAATTCAAAATGGCAGATCCAATATGGCGGATAAAATTTTTTGAAAATCGATAAAATTGCATAAAATTACTCACTCGGGGTTTTTGGGGTCGCTGATTACGAATATGAAGTTTAATTTTAAAAATTCAAAATGGCGGTTTTAATATGGCGGATAAAATTTTTTGAAAAT